ACTGAAAGTACTTGACTTAGAAAATTGAGAATGCAGGGACCTTCTACAAAGAAGAAACTAAAAGGTATTTGTTGAATAAAGATTGAACCTCATTGCTTAAAAGTTAAAGGCAAATCACAAACAATAATTTTGTAGGCTTGTAATTAATTTTTACTTTGTTATACTATGTCTGTGAGACTCAACTGCAGAGATTGGAATGCTGAACCATTAAAAAAAAAAAAAGAGTTTACATCTTCTAGGATCACAGCAATGACAGAACAGTGAACTCACAATGCACGCAAGAATCAGATCCAAAAGACAGTCTTAAGGCAATAATTGGGTATGATCAAAGTACTACTGAAAATACTTCAGGCCGGGCACAGTGGCTTGTGCCTGCAATACCAGGCCTTGGGAGGCCAAGATGAAGGTTCGCTTGAGCCCAGGAGTTCAAGAACAGCCTGGGTAACACAGTGAGACTTCACCTCTACAAACAAATTAAAAAAAAATTAGCTAGACATGGTGGCACGTGCCTGTGGTCCCAGGTACTCAGAAGGCTGAAGCAAAAGGATTGCCTGAGCCCAGGAGTTGAGGATGCGGTGAGCTATGAGGGTGCTACTGTACTACAGTCAGTGTGAAACTCAACTTAAAAATTAAAATACTTCAAATTACCAGTCAAGTTCCTGGCTTTATACACAAAATGATGAATTTACCCATTTATTTAAGTATTTATTAGTCAATGTTTTTCTATGACCCTCCAAGGTCCTTACTTAATTCCTCAATTTCTTTCAAAAGAAACTCTTCTACATAGCTGCCCAGGAGTCATAATAATGCAGTTCTCTTCTTTATCACCAGTACAAACAAAACTTTAAAGTTGCTGCACCATTATGCAATGATTATTTCATTCTTTCCAACAATTGGTGAGCTGAATTTCCTGCACTTTTTTTGTAAAACTATAGAGTTGAATTCCCTTGGATTAAATGTATCCATAACATGACTCTACTGAAGAATTATTAACAGACAGAAGTTACAGAGAGGCAGATTAGGATCTAAAAGATTAAAGAATTAGGATTCAATTTTTTCCCAATATAAAACTGTCAATCTCCAAAACACAGTGGATCTCATTACCCAGTGTCCAAGCACAGGCTAGATGGAGAAGCTATGTAGTGGGGTTAATGTTTAAATAAGGAAGCTGCAATTGTGGGAAGGCCAAACCAGATTATTTCAAAGACCATGGATTTTTTTTTTTTGAGTTAGAATCTCACTCTGTTGACCAGGCTAGAGTGCAGTCACACAATCGCTGCTATTGGTGCCTTGACTTTCTCTCAGTGCAGACAATCCTTCTGCCTCAGCCCTCCAAGTAGCTGGAAGTTTAGGCACATGCCACCACTCCTGGCTAATTTTTTGATTTACTGTCAAGATAAGATCTCATCATGTTGCCCCAGCTGGTCTTGAACCCCTGGGCTCAGGTAACCCTCTCATCTCTGCCTACCAAAGTGCTGGGATTACAGGTATGAGCCACCACACTTGGCCCTTTTAAAAACATAATAATTTTAAAAGATTGACAATAAAAAACTACAGAGAAGGGAATAAACTGAAAACATTCATACAATAAATATTTCTTGGTTGTCTACAATATGCCAAGCATTGCTCTAGGTACTAGATATGAACTGAAATAATAGCCCTTTATCATAAACACAAACTAGATCACCCACTAAAGGGGAAGAGGAATAAGAAACCAATAACTAAAAGTGCTGATAGTTTTTCTCTAAGTCAAAATGATATTCATAGATCGCTGAATCAGGAGATCTACATTGTTCCTATAATCTAATAATGCCAATAAACAAATTAAAAGGTGAAATAATTCTTTCTTGTTCAAGTGTTCTATGCATGGGGTTTTTTCTCTGACAAAGCAAAATTTCCATCCAAAGTATTACAGGTTTTTCCACTGGAACGTCATCAAATTTCTATGTAGTAGCAAACAGCTTTGCATTATACTCTCACTAACAAAATTACTTTGAAAGGAAATCAAGGCCCAACTCTGATGGAATAAATTTCTTTAATTGAAGTAGAGAATTATTTCAGAATTGTTGGCAGAGGTTTGTTTTACATATATGCCTGGTAAAGTTTGAACCAGATGTGCAAAGTGTCCCACCTCTGCAGAAAAAAAAACATGTTTTTCTGGTCAAAGACTCCTTAGAGAAAAACTTTTCTATGTGAAGCTTCAAAGGGCTACACAGTTTCCAAAAGAGGCTAACAAACAAACAGAAATTCTACTTTGTATATGACTTTGAATTTTACTTTGAATACTACTCTACTGAGTTATGCGGTCCACTGCTCAAAGCCTAGAAGAAATTAGAAATTATAAAGATGTCAGTAATATCTGAGTAGAGTACACCCTGATAATTACTCTATGATAGCTGTGAAACACTAGAAGAATGTTATTTAGCAGACACCTGCTTCAAATTTTTCTTTCTGTTACAAGTCACAAACTAGCTCAACCATTTCGATCAAGGCATCTATCTCTAAGACACTTTAAAAACGAATTTCACATTAAGCAACTGAATAGGATAACAGAAAAATATTTTGATTTAGGTGGATGTAAGAAATGAAATCTAATGGAACATGGAAAATTTCAGCCAATAGATGAGAATAATGGCCAGTTCATTTGATAGGGCCAGCAAAGCTGGACCACAAGAAATGACACATAAAACTCTCAAGCTCAGGTCTAATCTTAGTTGTTAGTGTCTCATGTACTCATAGTAATCTCAAATTTTGTATCATTTATCCCAAATCTGTTAAGTGTATCAGGTTCCCAAATCTTCTATGGGATCTTAGTCAGCCTAAAACAGCTAATTTCCCTTAGCTGGATAAGCAACTTTATAACCCTGAGATTAAGAAATAAATAAAACTCAATCTTTTACACTGAGTTTAGGTAAAAGTATAGTATGAGTTCTGTGCCATTTTATTTTTAGGCATGAAAATTTCACTTTAAGGCAGGAAACACATTTTTAAGAACACATTCTTTCATAATGACCCATTCATTAAACTTTTTTTAAAATTTGTATATATTTTGTCATCTTTTGAAGGTGTTTGAAACCCTTAAGTGAATAAACTATATAAAACTAATAACAGTTTAAATTTGTAGAGGAATTTAATTAGCTAACCATGGACATGATAGTGAAAAACGTTAATCAGTTATATTTCTTATCTACATCTATGCTCGCAGTGATTTCACATAGTAGTATGGATTTAAATACCACAGATATGCTAATAACTCCCACATTTCTTCTCCAGCTCACCCTCCCCAGTTCCCAGCTATCCAACTCCATCTTGTCCCAACTCCTAGCCATCCAACTGCCTACCTGACATCTCTGCATGTCTCAAAACTAAAAGGCACCTAAACTCTCAATATAAGCAAAACAACCTCAAAACCTACCTACACCTTTTCTTTCTTCCACAACTCAGATAGTCATATCTCTACTATTTCAGCTGCCCGAGCTAAATCTGGAGTCACCTTTGCCCCTGCTCTTTATCTCATTACCCATGCCCCCTACCTAAACCACCATATCAATTCTGTCATCTCTCCTTTCAAAGTATGCATAGAAAATGTTTATACATATACAAAATGTAATCACTTCTGATCTCCTTAGCTACTATCTTGGTCAAAGCCAAGATATTATTATTATTTCTCACTGCATGACTGCAAGAGCAGACCTGTACTTCAGCTTCTGCCTTAAACCTCCTTTAAACTGCTCTTAATAGAAAAGCCAAGCCGGCTCGGTGGCTCAGCCTGTAATCCCCCACCTTTGGGAGGCTGAGGTGAGTGGATTGCCTCAGCCCGCGAGTTCGAGACCTGCCTGGGCAGCGAGACCTCATCTCTACAATAAATCAAAAAATCAGCCGAGCGTGGTAGCGCATGCCTGTAATTCCTCCTACTTGGAAGGCTGAGGTGGAAGGATGGCTGGAGCCCAGCAGGTCGAGGCTGCGCTGGCCAGAAGGGGCCACTGCACTCCAGTCTGGGCGACAGAGTGAGACTCCAACTCAAAAAAAAGAAGAGCCAGAATGGTCCTGTCAAAATATACTTTGGCTCAAACCTATTCATGGATTCTCATCCTAGTCAGAGAGAAAGCCCACCTCCTTGCTGTGACTACCAAAGCTCCCACGGCCCGGCCTCCCATAGTGTCTCCAGCCTGGATCGCCTAGCTTCCTCTTCATCCCATGCCTGCAACCCTGGGCTCCTTGTTATTCCTCCTGCACATCAGCTTCCCACGCTCTCCATCTTTGGATCTTTCAGTTCTATGGTCCCTATGCCTGGGGGGCTCTTTGTTCACATACACAGGGATTCACTCCTTCACTGACTTCAAGTCTTTCCATCAATGTCACTTTTTCAGTGAGAATTGGCTTTGGTGCCCCAAGCCACCAACCCACCTGTCACTCAAAATCACTACTACTCTGTCACAGGATGTCTAATTTTCTGATATATTGTATAATTTATTTATTATTTTTATGATTTATTGTCTTTCCATCCCTACCCAAATGAAAGTTTTATACAAGTGGTTTTTTTGCCCGTTTTGTTCACTAATAGATAAATGAATGAATCATAGAACAATACAATCTGTTTGACATGAAATGAAGAGCTAATTCAAGTCTCCTATTCTGAGGGGGAAGAATTTAAGGGCCAGTTTGACAAATACAGGGTCAAACAATCAGTAGAAGTGGCAGAGTCCAGGATAAAAGCAGGTCTCCTTGGCCTCAGCCCTGGGCTTCTTCCATCAGGAATACAAACAGAATGGAGGAGAATGCATATGAAAGTAAATTTTTATTTTTACTTTTATTTTTTGAGAAAGCAGGATTTATTCAGAGGACAGAAAAGCTCCCACAGTGAGAGAGGACCCAAGAGGGTTGTCCCTGAAAGTAAATTTTTAAAACAAACAAGCATATGTACATATGAATGCAGACATGCAAAGTCATATTATTACACAAAGTAATGACATGCCTACAAATGAACTTTCCTTACTTACCTCTATCCCAGATTTTTTTGATGTTTGTGTTATAGTTTCTATGCATTTATTTGCCTTTTCAAGTTGAGCTTTAAGTTGTTCAGCTAATTCCTTCAAAAAGAAAAAAAAGTAAAACACATATGATAAGCAGCTTAATTCTTTACTAAAGACTACTTCAGATTTATACAACAGCATAACAGCCATGAGCCATCATCTAATTTCAATTATCAACTCATGGTCTAGTATATTACTTTTTAATGAACTTATCCTAGTTACAAGCTCTCAAATACCTGTGGCATTTGTTTATGCTTTGAAGGTAAATAATTACAAGGACATAAATTTTGGGGCAGATAAAGAGATGGAGGAAATACATAACCTTAAGGATGACATTTTTATAATCCCATAAATATTATAAATTTCCAAGGGTTACAACTCCAGTTATTTGTAACAAGAAATTCACCATAAGATTTAAAATATTACCTTTCTTATTGTTGATAAGCAATTTAGATAAAAATTCAGAATATATTTCATTTTAACTCTAGAAAATCTGTAGTAATTTATACAAAACAACTGCCATATAAAGCAATAAGCCACAAAGTAATAAATTAAATAAGTAGTTTTATCTGACGAGTAAAGAACAGTATGCCTCACTGCAGTGGTTCCATGAACACATGAACACATATTTTTATCTCTTATGTAGGTGACTTCTCTTTCACTATTTTAACTAATTTCTGTGCACTCTTAACCTTCATTTTCTGACTATCTTACTACTGTTGTTGGTTTACCTCTTTTGCCAATTTTTGGGTTTAGTCTAAGTTCAATGTTACCAAGGATCAGATTCAAAGAGAAAGATTACCACATGCAAGATGTGTTTTTTATTAGACGTATTACAGACTCATAAAAATAGAAATGTCTTGTTTGGATACTATCTGTTCCACTAGAGTATTATACCGATAGTATACCAAAACACAAGACTGCTTAGAGGTCAATTCTATTTGGGTTTAGCATATGCCCAGGACCAACTCTATCAGGATGCGAAATATCTGACTGTGCTATTCTGCATGTGCCCTTTAATATATCTTTTATTGTGCATTATTTTAACAGGCATATGGCAATATAATGAATGAATGCAGTTCTTACTAAATCATCCCTATTTCTTACAATTCTGAAGTAAATCAGTCTTAACTCAAACATAATTGTGGGAACTAAGGAGCTAGTCTACACAAAGCATTTAACACAGTTATCAGGGACAAACACATTTCCTCAAACTTGAATATGTGATTTAACTATCCTTTTGTAATGGCTCATTTTTTAGATTCCTAAGTAATTCAGAAAAGTAATAAGTGTTCTTAATAATATATGATGAAAAATGGAAGAAAAAAAACCAGTGCCATCTTTACCACCCTCAAATATGTTCCATAAGTTAAAAATGCAAGAATAAAGCAAATAGCAAACAAACAATCAAACAAAAACTTTTAAAGCACATAGTTCCCTAGGATTTTAAATTTCAGGAATTTGACAGGGAAAGTAGATCATTTATTTAGAAGGAGACAGATAGTACTGTTCCTTAAAATGTACAAAATTGTCTTTAAAGAATCAATCAACAGCAGTTATTTTCATAGTGTGCTATATCCGCAATGCTGAGGGACTTCTAAAATTACTTGTAAGAAGCTAAATATGTCATCAAAATCCTCCAAAAGAACAACATCTAAGAGTCTTACCACATTCCCCATCATCTCTGCCTTGATAATCTTGGCTCCCAACTTGTTTTTCTCATCAACACTCAGGATGTGGATGGACTCATCCTCTGGACTACTGTAGGAAAAGGACAGATTAAGAGCATATGAAATACAGGTACAAAGTAAATAATAACACCAATACTCAAATGCTATTTTAATCCACCTCAACAAAGCATTCAGCACCAGTAGGAAATCATGATCCTGAAACCTAAAACCTTGGCAAGTAAAACCACAGGTAAGTGGTGACTACCATAAACAGCATCAGCAAGCATATGGAAGACTTGAAAAACACCATCAATCAACATGCCCTAATGAACATTCACAGAACACTCTCCAACAAGAGTAGAAACTATATTATTTCCAAGTGCATACAAAACATTTTCCAAGATGGACCATATTCTGTGCCATAAAAACAAACTCAACAAATTTAAAAGAATCCAAGTCATACAAACTATGCTGTCTGACCACAATGAAATTAAATTTAAAAACTTTAACACAGGTCGCTGAAATACCTCAACTATTTGGAAACTAAATGGCATACCTATAAATAGTTCATGGGTCAACAATAAAATCAAAGGGAAATTAAAATTTTTTTGAACTGAATAGGAATGTAAACGCAACATATCAGAATTGGTGGATACTTATAAAGCATTACTTAAGGAAAATTTATAGCACTAAATATTTTTGGAGAGGGCACAAATGGATGACCTCAGTTTACTTATACCTTTAGAGAGTAAAAAGATAAAAAGTAAATTAAGCCCAAAGTAAGCAGAATACAAGAAATAAAAATCAGAGGACATAAATAGAAAGCAGAAAACCAATAAAGGCAATAAAACCAAAAGCTGATTGTTTTAGATAATAAAATTAATAAACCTGTAGTCTGAATGATCAAAAAAAAAGATACATAAATGACTAACAAAGAGAGAGGTAACATCACCACACTTTCTAAGCACCATACAGAAAGATATTCAGAGGGCAAATAAGCACATAAAGAGAAGTTCAGTATCAAGTCACTAGTCACTAAGGGAATCCAAATTAAAACCACAATGAGATACACTAAACATCCACTAGAAAAGCCAAAATTTAAAAGCCCGACCATACCAAGTTCTTGCAAGGATGCAGAGAAGTTGGCACTTTCAAATGGTACAACCACTTTGAAAAACAGTTTGATAGCTTCCTAATATTTAAATATGTGGTTATCATATGATCTAGCCATTGGCTCTCTGAGGTATTAATACAAGAAAAAGGGAAGCATATGTCAATACAAAGACTTGTACATTAAGGCTCAGAGAAGTATTATTTGTAATAGCCAAAACCTGGAAACAATCTAAATGTTCACTTCACCAACAGGAGAATGGAGAAACAAACTGTGCTATTTCCACCCATCATATATTACCCATCAACAAAAAGGAATAAACTACTGATATATGCAACAACTTGTGAATGAGGGTTACAATAATCACACTATGTGAAAAAAGCCAGACTACAAAAAGGGTACATGATATATAATCCCATTTATAGCAAACTACAGAACATGAAATCTACAGTTGACCGTTGAACAACATGGGTTTGAATTGCACGGGTCCATTTAGATGTGGATTTTTTTTCAGCCAAACACCTATAGAAAATACGGTATTCGCGGGAAGTAAAACCCACTCATAAGGAAGGCTGATTTCCTAAACACAGGTTCTGCAGGGCTGATGCAAGGCCTGAATATGCACAGAGGTCCTGAAACGAATTCTCCATAGATACTGAGGGACGAGCAATTACTGTAGTTTATACACATAAGTAAGATGTGTGGTTCTGTGGGGTCGGGGCTGAGGGTGAGGGTATGGAAAGTTAGGAGACAGAGATTATGAAAGGGCACCAGGAAACTTTCGGGGATGGTGCTTCAATGAGAATATATGTATTTCATCAAAATGTACCCAAATGTACACTTGTTATATTTGCATTTTATTATGTCAATTATACCTCAAAGTTTCCTTCTGAAAAACCCTCAAAAGGGAGTAATAAAGAAAATTAAAAGCATAATATATCTACCCTGTCATAATCCCAAATATAAAGGATATTAGCCTTATAAATGATATTAATTTAAATATAAGTATAAATGTAAATATAAGTTAGTTTAAATATAAATATTACTTTTTCTGAATTCCTAGATTTTATCATATTCTATTAAAATCAACCTTAATCACGTTTTCTGCAAATTTGGTTGTCCAAATCAAAAGCTGACCTAACAACAATATATGGAAATTATTTTAACTAGGAAATTCCTCTGGGGCTAAAAAAAAAAAAAAAAATAGAAAAGAAAATAAATAAATAAATCTTTTAACAGCATTTCAATTTTTTAAAAAGACAACTTCTACAGACAACCTGTAGCAACCATTTCTTCTCATACTGGTGAGAGAAGAGGCAACACTTTGGTGTTGAGATTTGAGGTAAAGCACCATTAGAGAGTAATATTTTCATGCCTCTCATATTCTTTCAGTCTACATTTTAAAAACAATTAAAGCGAACAGCAGAAGATTGCAGTCGTGTAAGCAGGAGCACATTATTACTTTGTATGTGCTTCTGTGGGTTGAAGTACTGCTTGTATTTAGTTGCAATTGTTTGTAGGAAAAATATTTTTCAGTAATTTTCTTCAGATTAAATTCTGAAAAACGTGTCATTTTTACTATATCATGAATGTAATTCATTTGAACTTCAGGCAACCCAATCACATCTCTATTTTACTTACTATCAACACAGCTTTTCTCAATTTGCTTCCTTTCTCATTTAATTAATTTTCTAAAATTCTCTCCTTTGAAAGTTTACTGTTCCTGTCCATTATGTGGAAACTATAGTTGCAAAACTTAAGTTAAATAACCACAATAGATGCCCTTCCTAAAGTGCATCAGTGCAACTATTCCACCATGAAGTCTGCTTGCTCCAGGGTCTGCCTCTCAAATTCCTGTTTCCTAAGTGAGAAACTTCTTGGCTACTTTTCCTTTTGCTTTTTTGTACCTGACCAGGTTTTTCCTTCCAACAAAGTTTTGTCTAGTTCATCCATTTTTCATCTCAATACCAGCCAGAAATAAAGAACTGAAGAAAGTTTCTTTAGAATAAGGAGGCTATTTACCCAATATTTCTACAAACCCTTCTCTGTCATTCTAAAAGATGCTTACTATAATCCAGGTACAGAATTAGATCACACAAGATCTCCTATCATTCAGAAAGTAAGCCATCTTGCAAACAATCTTAAGTCTGATAGGGTCAGAAGAAAGAAAAGTTTTACAGCTGTTAACCCAAACTACTGCATCAAATGGCAACAGATTCATGATTACTAATGGAAATGAGTAAAAATAAAAATATAAATACCTAAAAACAGACTACTAATCAAATTCTCAGAGTTTCTAATGCAAGCTTTTCATGAGAAACTAAAAGCTTTTTCTTTATAATATCAATCATGACCTTGCATCTTCCTTACAAAAAATGGGAAATCTCGCTCAGTATTAATGAAAAAGGAGGTTTGGAGTCAGACTGACAGGGGGTTCGAGTCCAGACTCTGCCATGTACTCACTTTATGAGATTGGGCAAGTATCTGAGGACATGAAATTTTAAAAAATGATTAATACCCACCTTAGCATTATCAGACAAATGTAGAAATGTATAAAATTACAGTAACTGAAGCAATGTAATAAAATTCCAACTACAGGTCCTCACCTGATGCTTAATAGTTACTAGTTCCCTTTGCCACTGAGAGCCAGTTACCAAGTCAGAGGATTTAATTCTCCAATCAGTCCTCCATCCACCAAACTTAAAAATCTAATGGTGATTTAATTAATTAGTAACAGTTAAAAAGTAGAATGTCCAGAGCCAGTACTCAGGTACGAAGTAACCAAATCTTTTCAAAGAACCACAGAATAAAAAGCGTCCTCACTGGACCACGGATGCCAACTCAAGCTCCTTCTCTTCTCTACGTTCACTCCTTTGGTTCCTGCCTTCTATCTCTCAAGTCTAACCGCAAGTCTGTCGCATGCCTAATACGAACCTTACACTGCCTCTGGAATCTCTTTAAAATACAAAAATGATCTATTTTAAATCCTTGAGACACTTCTTCCCTATCGCTCATAAAATATTTTCCAAATTATAAACATGAGAAGTTGTACAAGGCAGCACTTGCAGTACCTGCCTACCCACTGTCCTCCCACACAACCATATTCCGTAAATCAATGAGTGGCTGGCATACAGTGAGCACTCTCCCAGGATTTAGAGATATGAAGACTAGAAAGAGATATACCCTGTCCTCAGAGACCTCCTGCATCGTATACTCCAAAAGACTATTTGCAAACTACACCACGCTGGCTCACGTCTCCATGTTTTTCCCTCCAAGTTGCACTTTTCCATTTACTGCCTAACAAGTTCATCCTTTAATACCTCATAACTTTCCCTATAAACTTTCTCGGATTCTGTTCTCCCTAATCTCATCCCACGAAAGCTCACCACTCCTTTCTGTGTGTAACTATTGTAGCTATAAGGACCTACACTGATACCGACAGTTTCTGACTTAACAATGATTCAATTTATAATTTTTCAACTTTACAATGATACTAGTGATACATATTCAGCAGAAGCCATACTTCAAGTAGCTTTACAACCATTCTGCTTTTCACATTTAGTACAGTATTCAATAAATTACATGAGATATTCAACAATTTATTATAAAATAGGCTTTGTGTTAGATGATTTTGCTCAACTATGTGCTAATATAAGTGTTCTGAACACATTTAAAGTAGAGTTAGACTAAGCTATGATGTTTGGTAGGTTAAATCTATTAAATACACTTTTGACTTAACAATATTTTCAACGTTCAATGTGTTACTGAGATGTAACCCCATTGCAAGTCAAGGAGCATTTGCAACTCTGTTAGTATCACGGCATCTATGTACTATTTTTCTCACATATCTATGTGACTACCTCTCCCATACTATGAGTTCCTTGAAAGCAGATATTATGTCATAACGGTTTTTATATCAACAGGCCTAAAAAATAGAAGTACTCAGTAAATATGAGTAGCAGAATGACTTCACAAATCAT